ATTTTTTATTTATGTGCTTAGCAGGCGAAGTCATCTTAAATTAGCATCACATTTTTCCCTCTGAAGAGCATGTGAGAAATGAGGCTATTAGGAGGAGAGGTTTAACACAATATTTGTGTACACTAGTCAGGAGTGCAAAGAATCGGCCCCAACGTGTATGTTGCTTCGGCAAGCTGGGTTTTATCTTTCATATTTGTTTTATTTCCGTATCGTTTCTGGTGGAATTAATGTTTGCTACAGAATATGTGGCCTGCCTAGTCACATGTATTTTTTTTTACTTGAAGTTCACCTATTATTTTGAGTATTCAAGCCCTACGAAAAGTTATTGTTCCGTGTCTAAATTCCGCATGGCAGACACACAAATCTTCATGGAGCCCCAGGGGAGGAAAGTTCAGAGGCTCAGACCCTTCCCAGAAAGAATGCCCAAGAAGCTGTCTGTCCATTCCTGGAGGACTGATGATGTCAGCTGGCAGGTTACTCACTTCCAGTCTTTTTTGCTCCCACTGATGACATGATGTCCAAATTCAGTCAAACATCTGCAAAACAGGAGGAAAAAGTGAAAAGGGGGAACCAGCAGTTAGCGTAATGGCTATGTCGCTGGACTACCACGTAGTCGACCGCGGTTCGTGTCTCGGACCCATTGGCTTAAATCTCACGCAGGGCGCGTGTGCGTGCGTGCCCAAGATCCCGAGAGGAGAATGGAGGAGAAGGGATTGCGGCGTGACCATCCCCCCTGGGGGTGATTTCTCGCTTTCTGTCTCTATGTCTCTGTCTGTCTGGCGAGCGCACGCGCCCTATAGCGAAAACCTCTCCAAAAAAAAAAAAAAAAGTGAAAAGGAAGGAAAGGGAATTTAATCTAAAGCCATGCATATTGCACTGGTGAATTGGTAGGGAAGGCAGAAATGAACTGGGGAGGAATCTGCTGTGGATTTTAATGAACTATCTTGCCCTCGTTTCCCATTATCATTGATTTGTGTGATAAGTGCCAATTATATATGTCATAAGTATACTCCTTTTTGCTGAAGACAAGAGATCTTATGTGTGATGCAAATAAGGGTTCTCAGAATGCTAATTTTATAATGAGCCAATGCATTCTTCAAGGAGTTTATCGTCTAGAGAGCGAATAAAACATGTGCATAAATAATTATAATGCAAAGTAGGAAACTGGTGTGTCATGACATGGTACAGAAAGAATTATGGCCCAAAAAAAGAGGGTGGAGAAATAAATTATAGTTGAGAGATGCAGGAACGCTTGCTTGAAGGGTGGGGGAAATTGGCATTAAAGCAAATTGAGAGTTCTGGGTGTGGTTTCCAGATGAGGGAAATAGTAGAGAGAAAACACAGAGCTGGGAAAGCATGAAAGTTCCAGGGGGAGCAAGATGTTTACCAGAGCCATTGTGTGAGGAACCTGAGGGAGGTCAGGGTCCTAGCGTAATCACACAGAACCCAGAATCCCATCTGTGCCGCTCTCTATAGACCAGAGATCAGCAAACTTTTTTTTGGAAGGGGCTGGAGAGTTGATATTTGAGGTTTTGCAGGTGGGTCATACCATCTTTGTCAGAACTACTCAACTCTGCCATTGTAGCACAAAAGTGGTCCTAGGTTATATGGAGAGCACTAGGTATGGTTACGTTCAATGAAACTTGCCTGTGAGTCTGACCTGTGGCCTGGTGGTTAAGGGAGTCAGATCCCACATAGCTGACCTCACGGTTTGAATCCCAGCCTTTGTGGCTTGAAAAACATGCCAGGCCAATCTGACAGGGTGGACAAATGGAAGAGAAGAGATTTCAGCATGACCACACTCCCTTGGGGGATACTTTCTCCTTCTTTCTCTCTCTGGTGAGCACATACACACTCCGACAAATTTTTTTTCTTTTTGGAGAGATTTTCACTATAGGGCACATACGCTCACCAGACAGACAGAGACATAGAGACAGAAAGCGAGAAATCACCCCCCATGGGGGATGGTCACGCCGTAATCCCTTCTCCTCCATTCTCCTCTCGAGATCTTGGGCACGCACGCACACACGCCTGGCGTGAGTTTAAGCCACCAGGTCCAGGATGCGAACCTCGGTCGACTACGTGGGAGTCCAGCAACATAACCATTACGCCAACTGCTGGTTCCCATCTTCCTTCTCTTTTTTTTTTTTTTTTTTTAAATTATTGGTGCCAGCAGGTGGTGTGGTGGTTAAGGCGCCCAATTCCCACATCACCAACCACAGTTTGAGTCCTGTTTTGAGTCCTGGACCCAGTGACTTGCAAATCATGCTGGTGTGTGTGTGTGTGTGTGTGTGTGTGTGTGTACCTACAATCCTGAGAGGAGAATGGAGGACAAGGGGTTGCAGCATGGCCATCCTCCTTGGGCAGTGATTTCTCACTCTCCCTTTCTCTGTCTCTCTCTAGCAAGTGCATGCACCCTATGGCAAAACCTCAAACAATTATTTTTCTTTTAAATTTGCCAGAGGGCTTGTGCACTCGCTGGACACACACGCACACACACACATTTATAGACACACGTACAGAGAGAGAGAAAAAAGGAAAGTGAGAAAGAACCTCTACGAGGAAGGATCATACTGCAATCTCTTCTTCATCTCCATCCTTTCACGCACACACTTGTGCCTGGGGTGTTTTTCAAGCCACCAGGTGTGACACTCAAACCACACAGTTGGCCAAGTGGGATCCCACTGCCTTAACTACAACACCACTGGCTGGTCTCCCAAAAGACTTATTTATAGACAATGAGATATGAATTTTATGTAACTTTCACATATCACAAAATAGTCTTTTGATTTTTCTACCATCTTCTGCTGTTGGAGTAGGCAGGGCACGACTCTCTTTACCTTTGGCCAAATCTCCATGACGACAGGGAGGGAGCCACTTACTGTCTGAGCTTAGCTCTCATGGGCCAGAGCAGTACAGTCAATGCACCAAGTGGTTTCATTGTTGCTGTAGGCCCAAGACCAAGCTTCAGGATTCAGCAGTAGGACGACACAGGGACTGTATGCTCCCCGTGGACTCTAACATTGTGGTGTGTGTGTGGCAAGTCTTTTGCATCAATCTCCTGAGGCAGATGTCACCATGTCCAGCATTTTAGAGTTGGTTGGGAATCAAACCTGGGCTTCCCATGTGGCCTCAGCTGCTGAGCGGCAACATCCAGAGGACAATCCAGTGGCTGGGCCTCAGTCAAGAATTCTGACTGTTCATGTGTGACAAATGTGGTATATATTTTCTACTTCCTTTTTTTTTTTTTTTAATTGCTATAGGGCGTGTGTGCTCACCAGAAAGACAGAGAGACAGAGAGACAGAAAGTGAGAAATCACCCCCAGGGGGTTGGCCACACCATGATCCCTTCTCCTCCGTTCTCCTCTCAGGATCTTGGGCACACACGCACACGCGCCCGGTGTGAGTTTAAGCCACCAGGTCTGGGACTCAAACCTTGGTCAACTATGTGGGAATCCAGCGATGTAACCATTATGCCATCTGCTGGTCCCCACATTCTGTATGAACCCACACTTCAGTGCACTATATACTGACAACCCTAAACCACTTTCCCTGGGCTGAATTGGGTCTTTTCATATATCATCTGGCTAATTATAACTCCCATTTATCTCCTGGGTGAAGTTCAGTAGTTTTCAGCAAGTCATTTTCTTCATTCCCACGCCCCTCCTCACTGCACCAGTTTGCTCACTAGGGGAAAAAGGTGGGATGGAAGTGGGTTCAGGTTGGTGGGCCAGTGGGAAGCCTCTTAGCCCAACCTCCCCACCCTCAGCTCTCCATCCTGCTCAGATACCCTGAGAGATAATGCAGGGATCAGGAAGGCCAGCTCACTTCCAGATGGATTATTGAACCAGCTGAATCAAACAGTTATCTATTTCATTTCTAGATAAACCTGACATAACAAAGGGGTTTTTTAAAATGTATTTATTATTATCATAATCTTGTTTATAATACATTGAGCCACATATAACTTTACAGTGTGTTACATTTCTTTTTCCAGAAGGAGTACCATGCATATCAGTCAATATAGAGACATTAAAATCCCCATCATTATCATCCAATAGCTTTTCATTAAAAAAAAATCATTATTATTATTCCAATTATTTTTTTAAACATTCAATCACTATTTATCATTTTGCTTATAAAAAGACTTTACCCAACATGAAATACTTCTCAAACCTGTCCAGTTGAGAATACTACACACGTCATCATCAACAGGTAAGACAAAGGGCTTTTTTTTAGAGGTTTTCATTATAGGGCGCCTGTGCTCGCCAAAAAGACATAGAGAGACAGAGAGACAGAAAGCGAGAAATCACCCCCCAGGGGGGATGGCCACGCCGCAATCCCTTCTCCTCCATTCTCCTCTCGGGATCTTGGGCATGCACGCACATGCACCTGGCGTGAGTTTAAGCCACCGGGTCCAGGACTCGAACTGCAGTCGACTACATGGGAGTCCAGCGACATAGTCATTGCACTAACTGCTGGTCCCAACAAAAGACTTTTTTAAAACCATAAAATAAGATGTATTTTTTCCTGAGTTTGGAATGACATATTTATACTTGAATAAAATCTGTCTTATTTATCTCCTTACTCCTTCTTCCTCCCACTTTTTTCTTTTTTTTTTTTTTTTTTGACTGTAGGGTGTGTGCACTTGAAAGAGAGAGACAGAGAGAGGGAGAGAAAGAGAGATTTGGGGCACGCAAGCACCTGTGCCTGGTGTGTTTTTCAAGCTGCTGGGTCTGAGACTCGAACTACACAGTCGGCCATGTGGATTCCAGCTGCCTTAACTACCACTGGTGGGCCCCAGTCTCCTTCCCATTTACCTCCTTCCTCTTGCTTTTCTTCTCTCATCCCAGAAAAATATTTCTTTCTTCCTTTAAAAACAAAACAAAAACAAAAACAAACAAACAAACAAACAAACAAAAAAACAAGAGCTAACATTGAACAATATATTGCTAACAAAAGATTAATTAGTTGACTAACTTAATTTGTAATGTTTCAAGAAGGATGGCCGAAAGTCGAGGAAGTTAAGGACAGAAAAGGCGCTGTTACTTAGGACAACGTGGAAGCCACTGGAAATCTTGCAAAGTTGTTTCAGTGCCGTGAAGATGGAGGCCGGCTGTACCAGCTGAAGGGTAAGTGGGCCAGTGTGAGGAAGTGAGACAACCTGGTGGAAACTCCTTGTCATTTAGATGTCAGTTTAAAGTCACCTCTTTGGATTGATCTAAAGTAGCCACCTGGTGATGAGCACATGACCACATTTTATTTCTCTGCCAAGCCCCTATTTAGGACCTGATCATGTCTTCTTTCTTTCTTGATTCCCTTTCTCTGCCCTAGGATACTACACATTCACAGTGATCATATACAAGCGGAGACTTCAAAAAGTTTGCAGAAAAATGGAACTAAAATTTGAGTTTATTTTGGTGCAAACATTTTTTGAAACCCATGCATAGTTCTTTCATAATACGCATTTCTCATTTACTCACTTTCTTCTTTTTTAAACATTTATTTATGTACTTATCTATTTATTTGTTGTGATTTTCAGGTTGCCAGGTCTGGGACTTGAACCGCGGTCAGCCATGTGGGAATCCAGTGCCTCAACCACCATGCTACCTGCTGGCCCCTTAACTTTCTTTGTTATAATAGAAAGCTTGTAGATCACATGAGAGTGAGAAAGAGAGAGACAGCACCCTCCACAGGGTCCTGCCAAACCATGATCCCCTAAATCCAGTCCCTTGGATCCTAGGGCTTACATGTGAGCCTAGTGTTTCAGGCCATCCAAGTCAGAAATTCAAACAGCGGGCACCATGGGCAACCTGGCTTCTCTTGAGTAGCACATTACAGCTCTCTTGAGTAGCACATTACTGCCGCACCACGGAGACAACCCCCAAAGCACCCTTGTTAGGGCCTTGCCACGCTATGATCCCACTTCCCAAGCCCTCTTGCTGCTCAGGATTCTGGGCCCCTATTTACCTGGCGTGAATTTTTCAGGCTGAGATCTCAACAGCACTGCAGGGCACTAGTGTTTCTGCTGTGCCACAGTGGCCGGCCTTTCCCATGAACTTTTTCTTTTATTTGTATGCTTTATTTTTTTCTGTCCTCCAGAACCTACAAGACTTTGGTACCTGGTAGATATTCTAGTCATATTTGTTGCATGAATGGAGACAAGCTTGGCTATGATGGGAGAAAGAGAAATAGAAATTTATCTGATGGGGGATATGGAGCCCCGTGGTGTATGTGTGTGTGTGTGTGTGTGTGTGTGTGTGTGTGTATGTGTGTGTGTGTGTTTCGTTTTTTTTTTTTAACAGGAACCTCTAGCTCAGAACTCGTCAAACGTTAATGTTTCTAGGAACCATGTAGGGATCTTATTAAAATGCAGATTCTGATTCTGCAGGTCCAGAATAAAAGAGTCCTGGTGTTGCTAGTCTGAAAAATCACATTTTGAGTAGCAAGGGCTTGGACCAGTTGGGCACGTTGCTTTGAATGAACAAGTGAAGATGGGAGGTTAATGAACCAGGAGAGAAGGGGTAATCATATGAGCAAAGATTTTAGGAACCAAGAAGGGACAGAATCTTGAAAACCAGCAGGGGGCTTGGCTTTTCAAAGGCAGAAGGAAACCTTTCTCAGTGGAGCAGGAAAGCAGGAGAGGGATAAGAAGAGGAAGTTCTTGTCTGCTGGTGACTGTTTTCAGTGAGGTCATCAGCTGAGAGTGAGGGTGGAGGTGGGGTGTGGGAGTTTTGAGAAGCAGTCATTTTCTTCTCTGGCAGTATCCAGTATGCCTGTAAGGTTTGGATCATACACTTAAAGTAAAATCTATCCGCTCTGTTGCATAATTTCCTCGACATTAATCTGCTTGGGGGTAGGTCAGAGGAAGATGGTAGGTTCATCCAGAAGGAGTGTGACAGAGGGCAAGAAGAATTGGAGTCGAGGGTGTTGGTGGGAGTGATTTCAAGGGTGAACCACAGGGAATGAGGCACAGGCATTGAGAGAGGCTCTGCTACTCGGTCCCTGTTCTCATGGGACTCTAATGGGGAGACAGATAGGACTGATACAATTCTACAGAGGTATCTCTATCTACATGTACATGCATACTCATGCACGTACGTATTACATGTAAAAGTACACGTGAATGTAACTGTCAGAGCCCCACCCACAGCCCCTTGAGCCTCACTGCCACAGCACACTCAGCTGATTTCCAACTACCAGCGTTGGCATCTCTTTGCCAGAGAGCATGGCAGGCCAGAAGTCCCAGGGAATGAACGCCCCTGAAAGCACTGAACGTGGTAACTATTATAAAAGGAATCAGTGTGTGACTATGTCAGGGTGGGGTAACCGAGGTGTGTGGGCCTCTCTGGCTCCCAGCAGGATGAAGGTCGGAGGGCCATGGTGGTAACTTGCTTGACAAGACTCTCTTTAAGGCTGCCTTCCTTTCCCTGCCTCACTCCCTCTCCCTTACCTGGGTTTTTCTAGAATCACCTTCCCAATAAACCACTTGCTCTCAAATCCTTGTTTCATGACTTTGCAGAGGAAACCCAACTGAACTGAGGTATGAGTGGTTGCAGCAGCTGGATCCCACATGACTGGCAGCGCAGTTTGAGTCCTGATCTGCCGGCTTGAAAAACATGCTGGGTACATGTGCATGCATGCCCGAAATCCTGAAGGGAGAGAGAGATGGAGGAGAGGGATTGCAGCGTGACCATGTCCAGTGGCAGGTGCTCTCTCCTCTTGGGGGAGTGCATGTGGCCTCTGGCGAAACAAAGCAGAAACAAAAGCAAAACACATGAAATGCCTCTAACAAGCTGTAGAGCAGGACAGGAAGGCCCATGTAGGGGGAATGGAGTTCAAAGGCCTCTGTTGTGTGGAGTGTTGCACATGGAAGGCTCTTGGCTAATGTTTACTGAAGTGGAAGGTAATTATTAATCACCTATCTGATTGACCAGAGCGCCCTGCTTCCTGGCCAAGTTGAATAATGGCTTCCTTTCTTTCAGGTTGCCTCTCTTTTTTCCCTTTCCCTCCAAATTTAGTGGGCCAATGTGCCCACCAGCATGGTTTTCAAGTTGCTGGGTCTGGGACTCAACTGTTCAGTTGGCCATGTGGGTTCCAGTCACCTTCCACTGGCTGGCCCTCTCCCTTATTTTTCCCATTTTCTCTTTTTTTTCTCTCTTCTCTCTCCCTTCTTCCCGTCTTTCCCTCTATGTCTTTCCAATTCCTTCAAATGAACCTATTTATAAAGTTAATTATTTCTTACAATCTCCATTTCTATTAACCGTGACATTTAATTCTTATCTGTGGCCATCTTAAAATTGCCGATGTAGTCAGTGGAAACAGAATTACACCCTGTGAACAGGTCTTTTTTTTTTTTTAGATATTTTTGCTATAGGGCACGTGCGCTTGCCAGAAAGACAGAGAGAGACAGAGAGATAGAAAGCGAGAAATCACCCCCCAGGGGGGATGGCCACCCTGCAACCCCTTCTCATCCACTCTCCTCTCAGGATCTTGGGCACGCACGCACACGCGCCCAGCGTGAGTTTAAGCCACCGGGTCTGGGACTTGAACCACAGTCAGCTACATGGGAGTCCAGTGACATAGCCTTTACGCTAACTGCTGGTTCCTGAGAACAGGTCACTTTAAGGTGGATCTTTAATCAAACACTATCCAGAAAGAAAAATATTCCCAAGGGCATTTACTCTTTGGGTAACATTGCCATATTTGCATCCAGAATGCATTTGTGCTTTCTCTGGGAAAAATTCCATCCCCAGTATAATCCATACCGGAAATGGTGTGTTCATGTGCACATGGTATTTACAATCTGAAACCATGACTCAGTGCACATATTTGCCAAAGATGAAAAAGTGGAGATGCGTTCAGAAATGGCACCCGGCTGATCACCCGTGTGGTCTTGCGTGTGGTCACCGTGAGTGAATTACTAGAGAATACACCAGAAATAGAGAATGACTTATGCCAGTCAGCGAGGTCAGATTTATGGCACTGCAGAGAGACAGGACCAGGAAGGCGAAAACCCAGCCGGTAATTACTCTCCAAGGGTATGTTGTAAATAGTCACAACGTCCCCTTTCCCCCCTTGTCCTCCTTTTTATAAAAATCTTGAAATCCTTGCTCATCCCCTTCTTCCACCCAGCAATTAAAGAAAAAGATTCCACGTAACCTTTATACCCAATATTTTCATTGTCTTTTAAACAAATCTTGAGTCTTCAGTGAGGGTTGTGTTTTGCAACACCCTAGGGGTGGAGAAGTTTTCCATTTTCACCCTGGTGTCCTCTTTTGGCACATTCACCCGTCACCCCATGCCCCTCACCCTGTATTCTGGCAGGATGTGAGACATGCAAATTGCAAACTGGTAAATAGCAATTTTGCATATTTTGAATAGAAGAGAACAACGTGGTACCACTCGTTCTGTTCTCAGGGAAATCTGAGATAATGGGGAGTGAGCGCAAAGGCAGACGCAGGGTCCTAAGTATTTTCTCCCAAGTGTTTATTATGCTTATTAAACCTATTGTATTCTGATGAATTAATTTGAATTATTTACATGGTCAACCTTCGAGACAATAACCTGATTTAATCAGAGGGTGCAAATGGATCATTTCTTTTTGAAATTTAAAAGCAGGTTTAAACTGGAAGCATCAGGACTTCTCATATCTTTCGCTACAAATATTTGTTACAAATCTGCAGTTGTCAGGCTTAATGACATAGTGTCAGAAATCAAGAGAGAATATAGCAATGCGTTTCTTAAGAAAGTCGATAAACTCCCCTATGAGAATGTGCCCCCTGGACAGTCAACCCTTGGTTAAGACAAATTTCTTAAGGAAAAAAGTCTTTCAATTCTGTTTATCTGTAAATAGCGTGCACTGTCTGACAGGAGGGTGTTCAGCTGCTACAATTTCAGTGGAAAGGAAAATGACATGGTCAGAATGCTTGGGTTTTCATGAGATTATGAGCCCGGTGTCATTTCACGAATGTTTGGTTTTCATTGTGATTTGAAAGAAATTGGAGCTTACCATCCACATTTCTTCTACTTTGAGTTAGTAATTTTTTTCTTGGTGTTTGGATGGTTACAAGGAATTCTTGGGAAAGGTAAAATCTTGTGTTCGTAAAGACAGAAGAGGCACAAGTCATTC